ATCTGGATCCAGGTAGCAGATGGAAGTAGAAATGAATCTGGATCCAGGTAGCAGATGGAAATAGAATTGAATCTGGATCCAGGTAGCAGATGGAAGTAGAAATGAATATGGATCCAGGTAGCAGATGGAAATAGAATTGAATATGGATCCAGGTAGCAGATGGAAGTAGAAATGAATCTGGATCCAGGTAGCAGATGGAAACAGAATTGGATTCGGATCCAAGAAGTGAAAACAATCTAAAATATTCGGATTCGGATTCAGGGAATGCAAACAATCTGAAGCCACATACTGGGAGCTGATCCGGATCATGGAAGTGCAGAAAAAATTCGGTTCCGGATCTCACCGATTTATATTTTCATTTCTAAATTCTTTAATTGTTCCAACATCATAAATATACAATGTATACAATTGTAAAGGGGGTGATTAATGCAAAAATCAATTAAGTAAACACAGCTAAGTGCGTAAATACTACATGTTATGTTCAATTAGAGTTTTTTTATTACACATATATAAATATGTACTTTCATCAAGGTTTTTAAACTTATAATTGATGAAATATTAAATTATTTACAGGCTGAGTGAGGGAGGGGGTGCAGGGCCGCCATGAGCCCCGCAAAATGGTCTCCAGGCCTCTTCATTCACATGGATTAGTATTTGAAATGACCTGATGCTACCCCTAAACGTTAGAATATTTGATCTTTAAATAGTTATACTTTGTTTTCTTGAATGTCCAAAAAACATTACCTAACTATTAAAATATTAAAATGTTTGCTAAAAATTTGTATACATTACTTCTATAATATCTATACTAAATGATTAGGGGTAGGGCTAGGTCATCTGTGATTCCAGAGGCTTGGAGACCCTTTCGCAGGGCTCATGGCGTCCATGCACCCCCTCCTATAGCTGAGGTATCCCCCCTTAAATCTAAATTATTATAAATTTTATTTTCTAATAAGAATCATAAAGGAATTGAGACTTTGCCACACACTCTTAATTTACAGCCAAAAGTGAAAACCTTAGATATTTCAAACTATGAATTCTGTTAGTTTTATTAATCTAAGTTTTAAATATCTAAGATTTATACCATAAGGTTGTAAAGATATAGGGATTTATAAAACACTGAGTTTGTGCAAAGACTAAAATTCATTTGGAAATCTTAGAAATCTACTTTTTTTTCCTTCACTGTTTTCAATTTCAGCAAAAATTTCAATTGAGTATTCAGGTTGTATTGTTGAAAATATTATGATTAGGTCAGAAAGCATAATCAAGTCAGCAGGAATTATGATGTCAGCCGTCAAAATCAAGACAGCAGTCAAAATCAAGTTAGCAGATTAATCAAGTCAGCTGACATAATTAAGTCAGCAGGCGTTATTAAGTCAGCAGGCATAATTCTGAGTCGTTTTATTCTTTGTGGGTAACACTGTATATTCTTCATGAATTGTGTTTAAGGCAGCACTGATTATATTGAGTGGAAGAATGCTGATGCTCCAGCTAGAAAACTCTGTATGATAATGCAGGTTTGAACAAAACAACATATAAAGAAGATCTATATCTTGGAGATATTTAAATATTTATACAAGGGGGGGGGGCGTTTGACGCCCTACCCCTCCAGTATGTTTGCTCTAGCACTCTAATTTTCCTATATCACTTTGAACATTTTTTAATTTAACGGAATAAATTTTATAATGCATAGGGTAGGGAGTCGTTATAGTAAAAAGGTAAAGGTTAGTCAGCGTTAAAGAAAATCTAAAATATCCTTTAACTATGTTTTTTAAAATCACTTGAATAATGAATGTAGAATCATGTTTCACATTAAAATCCAACAAATTATTTTTACATTTTTCCGACCTTTCTTTTAACCTCTTTTTTAAAGTCTTCCTATACAGCCAAACCATTCAAGTCAGCGTTTTTTTTTCAATGAGTTGGCCTTAAAAATTGGGCTATGAACAGGCATTGCAAGCCAAAACCTTTAATTTGAGGCCTTTTTAACAGGCATTATTAGCATAATTTTGAATTTCATTTTATCATGAAAGGTTTCTAGTAAAACAGTGTAATAACATTTTTTTTTGTTTGTTCAGTGCGCAGCTATGAGTCCTGAGAAAAGGGAGAATGTGATAAAGCAATTTAGAAAATTCCGTCTTCCATTCTTGCGAGGTATCATTTAACGGTGTTACGCATTTTCTCAATAGCATTTTTCAATGGCGACTTCCCAAATAACAATTTCCCAATGGTTAGGATAGCCCTTGTGTGGTGCTTCTGGCTGTCATTGGTACCGAGCCCTTTGGGTAGGATGGGCTAGGGGCCAAGCATTGAACCTAGAACAGGCTAGGGGACCGAGCGCTGCTGCTAGGCCAGACTTGGGAATTTGCTACTCGGGAAATTGCACAATTGGGAAGTTGTCACATGAGAAAATACCTTTGGGAAGTTGCCGCTTGGGAAAAAGCCTTTGGAAAAGTACCTAACATCGATAAAAGTACTAAGCGACCTATTAGATTTTGGAGAAAAAAAATAATAATTAACGATTTCTGTGTTTTCTACCAGAAACTTCGTGCACTCAATTGACTTTTAACAATTTTTTTAACTTTCTGTTATGACTAAAAAATCCTTATTAAAGCCATGCACGATCAGATATTTTCAATATTTTGGGAAACTGTCCCGAATTACAAGGAACTGTCTCTTATTACAAGGAACTGTCCCGAATTACAAGGAACTGTCCCGTATTACAAGGAACTGTCCCGAATTACAAGGAACTGTCCCGTATTACAAGGAACTGTCCCGTATTACAAGGAACTGTCCCGTATTACAAGGAACTGTCCCGTATTACAAGGAACTGTCCCGTATTACAAGGAACTGTCCGTCCCGTATTACAAGGAACTGTCCCGTATTACAAGGAACTGTCCCGAATTACAAGGAACTGTCCCAAATTACAATGAACTGTCCCGTATTACAAGGAACTGTCCCGTATTACAAGGAACTGTCCCGTATTACAAGGAACTGTCCCATATTAGAAGGAACTGTCCCGTATTACAAGGAACTGTCCTGTATTACAAGGAATCACATAAACTTTTGAAACACAATCTTTGATTTTATTTTTTATCTTTTAAGAAAAGGTTTTAAACTTTTGAAAAAAGGCAAAATCTAGCTAGCGTAGTTTTCAGAACTAACTTTGACTGACGGGTAAATTTATCAGGTCCTTTAATTTGTCCCCGAAAAATTGAAGATTTTTTTTATCCAATAAGCAGAAAATAAAAACATTTATAACTCATATTGGTTCATCAACTATATGATAAAATTCTGAGGTTTCTACACTTATTGACTTATTTTAGACATGAAACTTTTCCTGCTGATGGTTGCTGTACTTCTCTATGATCCATTAGTTCCCGGGCTTGAGAACCCCCAGGTTCGATCATCTTTGGTTTTTAGAATAATTTGCGGCATTCACTTGTCAGCAAAGAGATTATAAGAACTTCGTTTAGAGTTCAGTTTGTTAAATGAACCAAAAATAAAAAAAAAAGTCATTCATATCCTCATTAATTTTGACAGCCCATGAAAGGCAGACCATATTTTGGATATTTAAGGATTAGGATAATTATTTGTAAATATTAGTGTAAATTTCATTCAACTCCTCATAATTAAGGCTTTTTAAGAGAGTAAAAAGTGCGGTGTAAAAAAAATTTATTTTAGAAAACAATTGACATGTTTTTTATACGTATTTTATATACTTATGCCCATTTTTATGGACTTTAAAAAAAGTTTTGATGAAAAACGAGTTTTTAAGATTTAAAGTCTGATTATTTAAGGCAGTGGAAGCGATTCAAAAAGAGTATAAAGCGATGCTAAGGTAAAATTTCTATTTCTGTAAACAACAAATATTTTGTTGGGTTTCTAAAAATAAGAATTCTGAAGTAGCTCTGCATTAAATTTCAAACGACGTTTTTCATAGAATTGATAAACTTACAGGTTTTATTCATAAAATTCAGTGAGAACCAGAAAACTCTGGAATGGGACTTTTAGACTCAAGTTATGACTTCAAATAGTTCAATTATAACATGAGACACAGCTGTTGTGGAGTGTAAACGGACCCATTTAGCTTATAAGCAATTTAAGTGTCGTGTAAGTTTACACAAAATAAAACTTTCTCTTCAAAAAAAAAAATATCAAAAATAGGAAAGTTTTAAATGTTTAGGAGGTATGTTCTCGTGCACAGTGGTGTTCCAGAAGAGTTTGGAATGTCAAGAGTACACAATTGTTTAGCGTCCCTTTCAATCATTGCCGAAGTTCTCCTCGAGTTCCAATATAAATAGCTATAAAATCACATATATTCAGCCTGCTTATAAAAAGTCTCATCAATTTTTAAGACAGGGTCGACTTTGAAGTGTCGCAACGCCTTGGGCTTTCATTTTACCGCTCTAACTAACTTGTGGTTTTCTATAGCCCTTTACAATTTAGCACTTTAATGCACTTGTTGTTAGCTTTGTTTTTAATAAATTAATTGGCAAAATTCTCATTGATTTTTGCTGGAGAGAATGAGACCTATAAATGATAGTAAACACACACTGTCATTAATGTCAAAATATGCATAAAAATGCGAAAAGTAAACCTGGGACTGAATATAATGAATAATTAGGTTCTTAGGGATTCGGGTACTGAATTTGTTGAACTTAAGCTGAACTGCCTCCTTCCGGTTCAAATTTGATTTCATGATTCAAATCCTTCCTTAATCTTCAGCTAAATGGTTTACATTTGAACCGATAGTAGGCAGTTCAGTAAGCTCATTATATTCGGCCCCTGAATCCCTTAGAACCTATTTAATATATTTTTGAGTAATAAATTGAAAGATAAACTCCATTACAAAGTTATAATTTAAAAACTCCCTGCACTACAGTGCTCAAACTTCTTCACTTTTAATTTAATTTAACAAATAACAAATAGAATTGAATCCGGATCCAGGTAGCAGATGGAAATAGAATTGAATCTGGATCCAGGTAGCAGATGGAAATAGAATTGAATCTGGATCCAGGTAGCAGATGGAAATAGAATTGGATTCGGATCCAGGTAGCAGATGGAAGTAGAAATGAATCTGGATCCAGGTAGAAGATGGAAATATAATTGAATCTGGATCCAGGTAGCAGATGGAAGTAGAAATGAATCTGAATCCAGGTAGCAGATGGAAATATAATTGAATCTAGATCCAGGTAGCAGATGGAAGTAGAAATGAATCTGGATCCAGGTAGCAGATGGAAGTAGAAATGAATCTGGATCCAGGTAGCAGATGGAAATAGAATTGAATCTGCAGATGGAAGTAGAAATGAATCTGGATCCAGGTAGCAGATGGAAATATAATTGAATCTGGATCCAGGTAGCAGATGGAAGTAGAAATGAATCTGAATCCAGGTAGCAGATGGAAATATAATTGAATCTAGATCCAGGTAGCAGATGGAAGTAGAAATGAATCTGGATCCAGGTAGCAGATGGAAACAGAATTGAATCTGGATCCAGGTAGCAGATGGAAATATAATTGAATATGGATCCAGGTAGCAGATGGAAATATAATTGAATCTGGATCCAGGTAGCAGATGGAAGTAGAAATGAATCTGGATCCAGGTAGCAGATGGAAATAGAATTGAATCT